CCTCCTCTTTCTCCAGCAGTCTCTGTCCATGAGGAGCTTGGACCGCCTGCAGGCAGGAACTGCTGCCATTCCAAGCTTCTGCCTCTATATCAGAGGCAGCAACATGGGATGACAGCAGTCCCTGTGCACAGGGGAGCTGGTTTTTCAACTGGCTCCCCCTGCGGATCAACTTCCACCTGGCACCCCCCAGTGCATCCTCTGATAGACAGCAGTGCAAAGTGACAAGGGTCTCCCCAGGAGTAGGCCAGATTGCACTGGCTGCCAGCCTCACCCCGGGGACTATAGACTAGTCAACTAAATACTAAGGATTCATGTGGTTAGTCGACTATTCAGTTAACCAGTAGCTAACATCCCTACTCAATTGTTACTTGCATTTGCAAACAGAATGAAGAGCAGTTCAGTTTCGGTGAAAAGAATTTCATATGGATATCTGGTTGTATTTGCCTTAGTTACCACTTGGTTAATATGCAGCTAATGGATAGAGTATTGGGTCGTTTGACTAGAGCCCAACTGTCCTGCAGCATTTGTGGCTCACATACTCATAGTATACATTTGCCAAATGCCAGCTGGTCATTTCACACATTTGTCTTCACTACAGAACTGCTAAGCAACCTACAGATGATGCTAACTTTGGACAAGTGGTCCTCCAGTCCCTATTCAAATAGACTCTGAATGCATCTCCAGCTGGGACTGTTTGTGAGCCACCTACAGTAGATTGGATGTATGCAATCACTTGAAGAGGAAAAAGTGGATACTAACTTTTTCATAACCATTGTACTTTGAGATTTGTGGCAAAGATCTGTTCCACAACCTACCCTCTTTTTCCTCTTTGTTGGAGTGGTTCCAGTAGAAAGGAACTGAGACCAGGGGAGGGTTGGTGGCAGCTCAGTTTTTTATGCCTGTGTGGTATGCACAAACAGCAGAGGGGGCAGGGGCTGCTGAGACAGGTACCACCAAAGGTAAAAACTCTCTGATAATTATGCATTGGAGCACACAAACAGCTACATGGAATGTGGAGGTGTGCAACAACAGTCAAGGTTAGTAACTGTTTTATTTATAAAATGTTTTTATCATAACCCTACTTAATTAAATCCAGCCATATGATTTCATTCCCTCAGCAATAGTTTTGTATTACTTACGTAATGTGTTTTATGTTAAATGACCCTTCTTCTCTTTTTTACAGCTCTTTGCAAAAAGCAAACCCCCAAAAGGGCTTTACATCTATGGAGATGTTGGTAAGTTTCAGTAAAGATTTAACGGGAAGTTTTACCTAAATGAGGATTTCACAGGGTCTCCATTTAAGAGGGAGCAGGATCACAGTGCACCTCTGACTAACTGTCTGCTGCCCAGCTGGGTTTAAGGCACTGTTTCTCAAAGTGGTCTGTGAAACCACTTTGAGAAACCAGTTAACTGGCTGCACTAGTGTATTTACTTACCAGCTCTGTGGCCATGGAGCCTCGTGGCTCCTATTGGCTCTATTTTGCTGTTTGCAGCCAAGAGGAGCTGTGGGGTAAGTAGCAGCCTGGCTCACACCACTTCCTGCGGGTCCCTTTGGTTGCAAATGACAAAATGGAGGAAGTGGGAGCAGCTAAGCTCTGTGGCTGCAGCATAAGTAAACACACACACAAAAGCAGCCAGTTAACAGGTTTCTCAAAGTGGTTTCATGGACCATTTTGAGAAACACTGTCTTAAGGGAAGGAACCTGGGTGTTAAAAAAGGGAAGATAGCAGCAAGGGGAGGACTACTACCTCGGGTCTCTCTCAGCTCAGAAAGGCAAGGGAAAAGAACTACATAGAGACGTAGTAGAAGGGTTCCTGAAGAAAGCTGCTGGTGTAGCTGTTGAGAACCCAGAAACATAGCCCCCAGGAGAATGACTTTGCCACTCCCTGATCCTGGGGGAAGAGTAGAAAGCTAAGGGACTCATTATTATGAGTCTGGGAAGAAGAGCATTTATTTCAATTTTATTTGGCGTTAATAAAGTAGAATCCCAGGATAGGTTTTTTGTCTTAGTCCGTTTGTACTCTGAAATTCTTAAGGGATTCTAAGAGAAGGGAAAACTGACGCAGGGCCACACTCATCCAGCAAAGGATGCAACAGAACAGGCATGCCCTTTTACAGAGGGCTTACTCAAGTTCTTACTCATACTTTTATGTCAAAGTGGTTTTAAAATTTTGTCTTCCAAGTTATGTATTTTAATACACTTTTCAGACATGTTTCTTTTAGACTATAAAATGGTATTAAGTATAGATAGATCCAATCACTCACTAATTTTTATGTGTATTAATATATTTCTGTTTGTGACCTGCTATTTCATTAATTAAACATATTGTTAAATTTTAGCTAAGTAAAAGGAAGGAAGCAGAGAGGTGAAATTTTATTGTAGTCATGTCAATATATCATGAAAAAAACCTTGTAATAAGAAAATATTTGGAATATTTCAGGTAGAGACAATATGGCCACTTGTTGGCTCAAAATGTCATAGTTTATTTTTTCAGAATTTCTCCTTTATAAAGTGAAACACAACTTTCCTCCTAGCTATTTTAATATAAAATATATTCTTTTTTCTCAAACAAGCAAACCTTTTACTGTTCAGCAGAGTAGTGCAGTTTCATTAGTTCAAAGCTAATGAACAGTCATTACCGTAATCAGTACATACTGTTTTTAAATTAACTACCTGTTGGGTATGTTTGTTTTTTATTTGAAGGTACAGGAAAGACAATGGTGATGGACATGTTTTATTCTCATATAAATGTAGAGAGGAAAAAGAGAGTCCATTTTCATGGTTTCATGTTAGATGTACACAAAAGTAAGTGCAAATTCTCTGACATTTACATGAGTTACATTAAGTATGTAATCTATAAAACAACCTGATTTATTTTTCTAAGAATAGGAAGCAATTTAACTTTATTTTACATAAGTAATCAAAAATACATTTATTAGAGCAGTTTGAATCTTCCATATTTCAATATAGCTATGAGAATGTCCACTAAAAAATAATGTAGTGTGAGATGAGATGTATATTCAGGATTAATTTACCCCTTATCTAAACACCTGTAATTTATAAATTAACTTAAGCTCCGTTTGGAAGAATAGAGGCTAATAGTGAATTTATCGTTGAATCAGATAAATAATATGATGGTGTCTGTAAGATATTTTGTGTAAAGTCAGCTGTTAAATTATTTGATACTCATTTGGTATAGTGTATTCAATTGAGGGTACAATGATTTAAGAAAGACAGAAAACAAAATTTAGTTTGGAAGATAAGATCTATGAGGAAGGGTTAGGAGTTGAGACATCTTCCATCTTCAGGAAAAATAACTCACATATGAAAAGGAATGTTAGGAGAGGACAGGAATCAATTATTCTCAATGAGAATTTGAGTTCCAAGAACAGGTAGCAATGAGAAAAGCTTTGGAGAAGGACTATGGAATTGCTATTACTTGAGTTATTTAGGGCTAGATTAACTATACGTCTGCCAGGGGCCATTTAAAAATAACTAACGCTATTTTTCAAAATTTCACAGAGGTAAACTAGATGAGCTAATAAAAAAACTGTCAAGATCTGTGTATGCTTTACTAAATAATCATTTATCTCATTCATTGCAAACCTTGTTCTTTCCTTTCTCACCCTCTATTGGGAATGTTTCTAGCCAATGTACCTTTTATATTGTAAAGATCAGATTGGGTATTTAACATCATAAGAACAGATATACTGGGTCAGACAAGTGGTCCATGTAGTCCAGCATCCTGTCTCTGACAGTGGCTAGTATCAGATGCTTCAGAGAGGATGAATGACCCGTCGCTGTCATCCTGTTTCAGTTTCTGACACTTGAAGTTTTATGGACACCCAAAGCATGGAGTTGTCTCCTGAACCATCTTGCCTAATAGTCATTGTTGGACCTATCTCCCATGAACAAATCTAATTCTTTGTGTTAATTGAGTCTTTTTTTTCCCAATGACAGTTTACTAAACTGTTTCTTAAAATGTAACACCTTCCAATATAAAATCTGCCATCTTTGGGACCCAAGCTGTACCTACTCTAAGACTATGTCTAGACTGCAGAGTTATATCAGCAAAAGATATGCAAATTGCAAACCGCAATTTGCGTATCTTTTTCTCCCTTTTTTTTCGGAAGAGGCTTTTCTGAAATTTGGCCTGTCTACACAGGGCCAAATTTTGGAAAAACCTCCTCTTTTGGAACATCCCTTATTCCTCATACAATGAGGAATACAGGGATGCCGAAAGAACACATCTGCTTTTTCGGAAACTGTTTGGAAACTCTGCATAGACATAGCCTAAAACAGCAATAATTTTCTGTGATAGGTGACTAGTTTTGCATTTGGGGATGATCCATATCCTGGAAATCTAATAAATACATTCTGCACTGACAATATCTCTTGTTACCTGTATGTTCCTTTATGCCTATTTTTTATAAAACTAACCTCCCATCACAGGGCCTTCCTTTTTCCAAATGTTCACGTTATTTTAAATACGTACATAGTGCATAATCTCTAGTGCCTTATAGTACATTTTTGTACTGTAATACTTGTTTTGTACAATTGTTGACATCTTTTTTTTTCCTTTTTTTTTTTTTAAACCATAGGGATTTGTTTCTCTGAGTTGAGTTTTTTCCTATTATTTCAGAACTTGACTACAGGTTGTAAACATGCTTTAGAGAAACAGAAGAAATGCTTTAAGTGTTCTGATTATTAGTGCATAGACTAAGAGAGTGGGTACAATCTCAAAGAAATGCAGCAGAATCAGGGTAATAAATTCCAAACAAGACAAAATGATAGAGTCCCAATTACAATATCAATGTTTTCTGAAACAATGGCAGGATAGACACACCATTTTTGAAAAGTATATAAAAGCAGGCTTCCATGAGGTTACAGTGCAATACTTTACTTTGTAAACAAGAAATGAATCTCTGAGACATTGGAAATTTACTTTAAAAGGTAAAAAAATTACACAGTGTGCCTTTTAAAATCATAATGCATGTGATTTTTGTATTTCTGTATCTATTAGTCCCTATGTGTGTATTGTTGCTTTGAAGGTGCCACAAAGTTAAATGCAACACTTTCATTGTTTATTTTTCTATTTTATTTACTTCAGGAATTCATCGCCTTAAACAGAGCTTGCCTAAAAGAAAGCCAGGGCTAATGGCCAAATCATATGATCCAATAGCCCCTGTAGCTGAGGAAATAAGTGAGGGGGCTTGTCTCTTGTGTTTTGACGAATTTCAGGTAAGTAATTAATCAGAGAGAGTTTCCTGGTTTCAGGAAATCATTTAAAGTATTGCTTTATATTTTATTAAAAATATAATACCTTTTGTTGTTAGTGTAGCATTCAGCTTGCTAGCCCATAATGGAAGATAAAAGTTCAAAAATAGAATGCCATTTCAAAGGCAGAAGCACTGCGGGGAGCACGGGGCCAGCCGGGGTCTCAAGCAGTCTGCCATTCCAGGGCTCTTGTACATTTCAAAAGCAAGGAGCGTAGGGCCAGTTGGGGACTGTTTGAGTCTCCTATTTACCCCCTGCTCCTGCAGTGTTTCTTGCTCTTGTTACATTTCAAAGGCAGAAGTGCCACCAGTTCCCCTCTGTGCCCCTGTCCCTCCCCCCCCATGGAGATGGTGCTTTTAAGTTAGTTCCCTCCAGAACCAGCTCCTGCTCCCCCCCCCTTGCTGCCTCTCTCTGATAGAAAGAGCAGCAAGGAGGGGGAGAGTCTAGTCAAGTCGACTATCCGATAAGCATATGCTTATCAGATAGTCCACTAGTTGCTTACATCCCTATTCTAGAGTATAATTCTGTAGCAATGGTGAATTCTTTATTAAAATGTATGACTGCAGAATGTACAAGGATATTGCTGTGATACAGAGCCATTCATGGTAATGTCTATTTATGAAAACGTCTAGCATATCTTTTGGTAAAAGCCAGTGCTGGTCTCTTATAAGAGTAGAACTTGTTTTTGGTACTAGTGACTGAGGATGAGAAGCATATTATTGAAACATGCAAATTAATGACTAAGTGAACAATTGCGATAATGAATACTGTATCACAGAATATCCTTTGTTCAATATTTTGTCAACTATTTTAATTATATTTCTTACTAGGCTGGTAATATACTGAAGTTGGAATTTTACAAATCACTAAATGTTATATATCTTTGAAACAGGATGAGACTATTGTATTTTGTTTGGCTTTTGTGTCAAAACTTGTCTGATTATCGTGAAAGGAAGACAGGAGACACTTGATTTAGGTTTAATAAAGTCACAACTTTATTATTTGATGTCTGGGGGCTACTTGGAATCAGGGGTAAAAGTTGTAATGTACCAGTGTGGTGTCCTGACAGGTCTCCTGCCCTATCAGAGATGATAACCATTCAGCTGCATGCATGTTCTTGTGCTCCTTCTGTATGTTGCGCTGGCTTTGCACAAGTAGCCAACACAGCAGACTCCAAGAGAGTCCCCAAGGAACAATGAATCAGATAATATATGAATGCACCTGAATCAGGCTTATTTGAAACGAAGCTCAGTAATAGCACCTGAGGATACTAAGAATGCATACCTGTGACAATGGCCATGGCTCAGTCAGTAGCATGAGATTCGCCACTGCCCTCTAGTCCAGACAAAGAGTTAAGTTGCGGTAACGCAACATTTACAGACTGAGACAAACAACATGTCATGACATGTTTGTTACTTCCACTTGTACTTTCCTTCTGACATTTCAGACAAAGCTGTCCTATTCATCCCCTATTATTTTGCTTGTGATGTTTCAGACAAAATATAACTATTCATCATTTTTTGCCAAACTGTTTTATTGTGTGCTAAATTAAGGTGTGTCTGTACTGTTCTGGTGGAATGTATTTATATGTTACATATGTTTTAGCAGTACTAGAGCCAAGTTCATGTCCCAGAAACTGACTTGTAGGCAAACATCCGCTTTTGACAAGGCCTGCCTGTTACTCATAGTGATCTTTATATGCGTATAGGAATTGTAAGTACAAAGACTTGGGGGGGGGGAGCAAAGGTGTGGGTGGGTGTGTATTCATGTAAAAGTGTAAAAAAACACTTGACAGCTCATTAATCTGCTTGTGCTAATACAAGTAAACTCTGTGATAGACAAGTAAAATATTAGTTTAGTGAAAATATGCCATTTTTCCTCTTGTAAAAGATTGATTATGTTTTGAAGTTATTTTAGTCAAAGAGGCTACAAATCATGTTACCAGATGGGAAAAGAGTTTATTTGTCTTATTCATTATACTTTATTCCGAATCTCCTCCTTCCACTTAGAAAACACTTCTAATGTATTTCTGTATTTCTTGTCAAGGGTTTCACACAGGGATTTCACCTCCACATTAAGCTTCCTCACAGTTTGCTGTAATTTTTGTATTGTCTGCTTGCTTTCTTTTCCTTTTTTTCCTTTTCCACGAGAAACCACCTGTACCAGTCTTATTTAGGTTTTTCCAGGGAATTTAAAAACTCATCTTGAATTTTGATGTTGGGCATTTTAACTCTTGGCTTTAAATGAAGTGCTATTTCGGATTCTTAACCTGATTGTTTGCTGTTACTGTTCATACTCACTGAAATAAATGTAAAATTATCGCAAAACAGAGCTCTGCAGAAAATGATACCTGTAGTTAAGTACCTGTCAAGGCTGTTTTCCACTCTGTCACTTTGAGTGCAGAAGGTGAGGACCCGCAAGAGACCTTCTGCCTCCAGAGACTTCTGTTTAAAAAACTTCTCAAGGTCACAGATTCCCTAGCCTTGGGAGGTATGCTGCCATCACTCAAGTGAAAAAAAACAACAACCTTTCTCTTTGAACCCAGGAAGAAATTACTTGGGAAATTCTTCCAAAAGAGTACTCCAAGCTCTTTTACCACAAGAGAGCTTGAAAAAAAAGAAAACAAATTGTAATCTCTGATGGCTGGCTTCTCAGTCTTAGGCATGCATACACAGACCTCCTATTAACTTCCAGGACATAAGAATCAGATCATAGTCTTTAAAAAGGTGATTTTATTAACAAAACAAAAGATATACTTGGTAAAGTATACTTGGTTGCTGGTGTCATAGAAAAACAGACTGAAGCACTGAGAATAGCTTCCCTTGGGATTCAGCTTTAAGTACAGTGTATGGGGGGGGGG